GTAATCCCAGCGCTTGGGAGGCTGTAAAAAGGCGGATCACTACGAGTCCGACCTGGTAGCGAGACTCTGAACATCCTGTAGACTCTTCCCTAAAAAAGGAAAAAAAAAAAAAAAAAAAAAAAAAAAAAAAACCAAAAAAAACCTGAGTGGCTGGCAAAGATTTTTCTTAAAAAAAAAAGATTTTTCTTCCATTCTGTTGGCTGTTCACTGTTAGCTGTTTCCTTTGCTGTCCAGAAACTTTTTAATTTGATACAGACCCAGGTGTTTCTTGCTATCATTTTCTGTGCTGTGGGAGACTATTCAGGAAGGCTTCGCCTGTGCTGAGGGCTTCACGTAGTTTCCTCATATATTCATCTAGCAATTTCAAATTTTCCACTGTTACATACCTAGCTCTTTGATCCATTTATTTTTGTTTTGTTGTGTCTTAGTTTTAATTTATGTATTTGGTACAGAGTCTCACTACATAGCTTGGACTTGTAGTGATCCTCCTGTTCCAGGCTCTCCAGGGCTGGGATTACAGGCGTGCACCACCGTGCCTGGCTTTGGTGGCTGGCCCAGTGGGCCCAGGCGGGGCCAGCATGGCATGCGGTACTGGGGATCAAACCCAGAGCCTTGTGCTTGCCAGGCAGGTGCTTAGACCACTGAGCTATCTCCCCAGCCTGTGATCTATTTAAAATTGGTTTTTGTACAGGGTAGAATGTAGGGATCTAGTTTCAGTTTTCTAGACATGGACAGTTTCCCAGCACCATTTGTTAAAGAGGCTGCCTTTTCTCCACCGTATTTTTGGCTCCTTTGTCAAGAACCAGATGGCTGTAGTGGGGATTTCTTTCTGTGCTCTCTTCCTACTTCCTGTTCTAGTGCCTAATTTGGGGCCGGTACTGTGCTGTTTTTGTACTGTGGTTCTGTAGTATATTTAAAATGGGGTATTGTGATATCTCTGGCCTTACTGCTGTTTGCTTAGGATTGTTTTGGCTATTCTGGGACTTTTGTCTTTCTATATGAGTTTTAGGATTTTTTTTCTAGTTCTGTGAATAATATCATTGGAATTTTGATAAGAATTGTACTGAACATGCAGATTTCTTTTGGTAACGTGGCCACTTCCACGATGTTAAACTTCACTGACCCGTGAACACGGCAGTCTTCCTATCTGAATTTCTTTCTTCAGTGTTCTCAAATTTCCAGTGTAGAGGCTTTTCATTTTCTTGGTCTGATTGATAGGTATTTTTTTTTTTAACTACTGTGAAAAGCATTATTTTCCTGATTTCTTTTTCAGCTAGCTCATTATTAGTGGGCAGACAAGCAATAGTTTCTTAACATTGATTTTATATCCTGTGGCCTGTGATTTTTAATAGATTGTTTTCTTAACTTTCACATCATGTAAACATTTAAAACTGAAAGTTGACCTTATAAACTCATTTACGTGCACACACACACAATACACACAGCCTTTTCTAGTCAGTGTCTCTCAGGTAAGCTGGCCACATTTTACTTATACATGGAAGGATAGATGGATTTATTGATTGACTGATTCATTGATTGTCTCTTTGAGACAGAGTTTTGCTTTATAATTCAGGCTGTCCTTGAACTTACTTTGTAGCCGAGGCTGATCTGTAGCCCAGGCTGGCAATCCTCCTGCCTCAGCCTCCCAAGTGCTGGCATTATAGGCGTGTGCCACCACACTTGGCTTACAGGGCTAATTTCAAAGTCCTTCTTGATACCATTCTGATAGAATTTAAAGGAAAAATTTCCCAACATGTATTTTTGTTAAGTATTAAAACAATAAACACTTGTAAAGACCAGCATCAGCAATCAATGCCACTGCATGCAGCGAAGAATGTACAAAAATTATATACACATTTGTGGGACTGAAACTGCTGTATGAAAAGAGCAAGGTTACAATGTGTATCTCCAGCTTCCTACTTACTCATGCGAGGTTGGCTTTAAATCTTGCATTCTCTGTATTCAGATGATTTTTAAGGCCAAGAATTAGAAAGAAGCTGTTACAGAAAATGTTTTAAATTATCCAAAGGCAGAAATAATGAGTGTTCCTAAATAATTTAAGGAAGTCTTTTCAAACAAAGTATCTGCATTATGTTACTGAGAAGAAAATGGAAAGAATACCGTCCGATCCCAGAAAGCAACAATGGAAGAAAATGAAATGACCGGAAGTGCACTTGACTCTGGCACAGTTCCCTTTCTGAGGCAGCTACACGTCACAGGGCACAGCGCGACCTCCTCACCAGTCACTGTCACACCATCCCCTTGGTGCACTCTGGCCATGTCCTGGATGCGGACTTCTGGGCTCACGTCAACCTCCTTTCCTGACAGCTGTAAGGATGCTTGAAGAGAGGCTGGCACCTTCACCGTCACAGAGCCTGTAGCCAGCACAGAAGAGTTTATTAGTGCAATGAACTCAAACACCAGAGCCAGCGTCAAATTTGATCAGAAGGGTATTAGGCTCCTGGCCCACGGTTTTCACTCCTCGGCATAGTTGAGACAGCAGCACCTTTCCCTGACTCCAGGAGGCCAGTCTCCTCCTCTGAAGGCACCGAGGTAACTTGAAAGTACGGGGCCAGAGGACACTGTAAACTGTCCTCCTGGCACATCCTTACCCTTCTCATGCATACCAGGAAGGGGAGTAGTTTCCTATGTCCGTGGCCTACTTCAACATTTACTAAGTGCCAGCCACTTACCTAATCTCCATATCAATTTTACGGGGTCATAGTATGATCCCCTGCCACGAAGCATTAACCTCAGCTCTGCAGATAAGGAGAGGCAGGGTGACATCCATGTGAATATTGTAGATTCCTGCTAGAATGCATCTATTTACGGGTCACAGTTGTCCTTTTAATCTGCTCAGCACAGCTTCAATTGCCTCAAATAGTTTTATATCTTCTCAGCCTTCCCGACTAAAGCCAAAAATTTGGGGTAAGACTAATAAAATTTATTCCTCAGAAAATGTAAAGAAGAAGCTTTTCACCTATCCAATTTATTCAAAACCAGACTGCTTCCTAGGGTTCAAATGTAAACACTTGTAGAAGAGTCCTAGCAACAGATATAAGTGCTTTAGGAAAAATCAAAACAACCATGGAAAATTTCAGGATAAATAGAAGATATGTGTTTTCCCATCAGAATGCATTTAAAAGTAGAAAATAAGGATTTAAAAGAAAACTTTTTGATAAGACTTAATTTTATATATATACTTTTTTCTGTTCTTACATGAATAACACGATTTTAGGACTGGCCAAATAGCTCAGCGGATTAAAATACCTGCAAGCAGGCACAGGGGCCGGGGGTTCAATCCCTGGGCCTGCTATGCCAGCCCTGCCCTCGGGGTGCACTGAGATGGCAATTGAGACTGGGAGTGGTGGCACACGCCTGTAATCCCAGCTCTTGGGAGGCTATAAACAGGCAGATCATTACGAGTCCAACCTAGTAGTGATACCCTGAACACCCTGTAGACCCTTCTCTAAAATACAAAAAATATATATAAATAAATGAATAACACGACCTTAAATTTGTGAGATTTTTTAAAATGTTAAGCTGTGATTAAAAGCTCTATATTTATCTTCCTCCACATCTTAAAAAACCCAAGCCACCACTACCATGCAGGACTGGCTCTGCTGTGAATGAAGACTTCTCAGGCCCTGAAAGCCTCCTAGTGTCTCCTCTTGAACTATTTTTTAAAGAAAGAAATGTCCTTGTTAGGGCCGGGGAGATGGCTCAGTAGAATAAGTGCTTCCCTGGCAAGCGCAAGGGCCTGAGTTCAATCCCCAGTTCCGGGGGGGAGGGGGATGTCCTTGTTATGTCATGAACCTGTTCTCAGCTGCTTGAGCTGCTGCATGGTTACTGACATCAACAGAGCTCTCATGGGCTGGCCAAATAGCTCAGTGGGTTCAAGCACCTGCTTAGGCAGACACAGGGGCTGCGAGTTCGATCCCTGGGCCTGCTGTGCCAGCCCTGCCCCCGGGGCACACTGAGAAGGTGAATGAGACTGGGTATAGTGGTGCGTGCCTGGAATCCCAGCATTTGGGAAGCTGAAAACAGGAAGATCACTATGAGTCCGATCTGTGTAGTGACACCCTGTAGACCCTGTCCTAAATACAAAAACAAAAACCCTTGAGCCCTCTTAAGAACTCAAAAGCAAAGTACCAGCACCACTTACTGTAGGCCTACTAATACGAGACTTAGTGAATTTCCCCAGGACAACATGGTCAGTGGAAAAGTTGATACTCTGAGCTGGCTCCTAGCCCCCCACACAGCTTTTCTAAATGAATAAACTTGCCATATGCATTCTGCAAGGAAGAAATCAAGTGCTGTAACCTTTTCCCCCATGGGGCAAAATGCTGAGGACCTAAGACTCCAGTGACTGGCTCCCGGTCCTGCAGCAAGGCAGCAGCAGGACTAGGACAGATCCCAGAAGTCTCCAACCATCAAGCAGCAGAAGCCTAAATAACCTTCCATTGATCTCCCAGGTTACTGCTCCCAAGCCTACTGAGGGCTCAGAAATGGGAGCCAAGGCAGAAGCCTGCTTCCTGTCACCTAGCAGCTGCCAGTAACGTCGTCCCAGGAGGAGAGAATACGGGAGTGTAACACTAATCAAACTTCACAACGTCAGATGTTCTTTCAAGGGTCACTGAACAGTGTTATAAGTAGTGGGCAAAAATATTTTAAACAGATGAGTATTAACTTTTAAAATTTTTAAAGTGTTTCATTTTTTTGCCCACAATACAACAAAGGAAGTAACTTGTATATAAGAGCTGCTTATTCAAAACCTTTTCACTGTTACTAGTTAATGTTTTCCTCCTGGGGGTCTTCATAAGACAGTGCAATGATATGCTTTGTATGGCATTTACAATTTACCCTGACAGTATTATTAAAGCTCTTTGTTCAGTGAGGACATGATAATATCCTATCGTGACATATATATGGCAGCAATAACTTTGGTTTTAGGCCTCTATGTTTTGTAGTTTGACACAATGACAAGCAAGCCAGGATGGATTAACAGCTACTTCGTGAACATGGGTGAGAACTTGTTAATAACAGGGTCATCCCAGCTCTGTAAGGAAAGATGTGCCTTCTACATATATCCCTGTCCTGGTTAATATTCAAGAGCTTTAAGACTTCATTTTTAAAAAAATTTTAATACAGAGCTATAGTTCTTAACTTCCTGCACCAAGCCACTGCAGCTCCTCTGGCCAGGCTGACCTGCCCATGTCACCACGGCCACACACGTGTACACATACAGGCCCACATAGACTCAGAGTTAGCTTTCAGACCAATAACAAAGCACATTGTTTTTAATGAAAGGCCTGAGAACAAGTTACTTGGATGAGGAATTAAATTACGTAGAGAGGCACCTCATCAACCTTGACACTTTAAGAGACAAAGCCAACAATCACCTATCTTCCTTTTATTTTGTAAAATATTCCAAAACTATTACCCTGCAAGGCCAGAGAGGTCCTCTTGAGGCTGGCAAGAAAGCTCCAAGTGCCAGCGATGGGACCATTTTCCCTCCAGAGTATTCCATTTCAGACATGACTGCACTGAAAAGACCTACACAATGGCATCGAACAATCTACAATAACAGTCCAAATAACACAAAAATTTTGTTTGCAATATGAAGAGAAAGATAGTCTTCATGGCCATCTGGCCCAAAAGTGTCAGGCTCCTGACCTGGGAGCTGCGAGGCCACCTTTAGGTCAGGTTCCAACAGGAGGCAGTGTCTTGAAGCTACTCGCTCAATACGTAATCTGACCATCTTTCCGCAGTGTTCCACACAACCCTCCCTGTACCACAGGTCAAAATGCACTATTCCAGATGGCTAACCTTTGTCAGACTTCAACTCCACGTTCCCCAGCTGGCTGACATAAACATCTATGGCACCCTGATGCGTTGAGGCTTTTAGACACCCTGCAGATGAATCTAGGAGGAAGAAAAAAATATAAGTAAATTATTCTTACTTGAATAAGTGTTATTATAAATGTGAAATAAAAGGTTCTGCTTTGACATTAGAATACACAGGTAAGAATCTTGCAAGGTTCCATACTTTTCTTATAATAATGGCATCATTTTCATTAAGATGTAAAGTAGCAGAAATGTAGACCTCTACACCAAGACACATAAGAAGAAAATCTTAGGGCCGGCCAAATAGCTCAGCAAATTAAAGTGCCTGCAAGCAGGCGCAGGGGCCAGGGGGTTGGGGGAGGTTTGATCCTGGGGCCTAATGTGCCAGCCCTGCCCCCTGGGCATGCTGAGATGGCAATTGAGACTAGGTGTGGTGGCACACACCTATAATCCAAGCTCTTGGGAGACTGTAAACAGGTGGATAACTAGGAGTACCATCTAGTAGTGAGACCCTAAACACCCTGTAGACCCTTCCCTAAAATAAAAAAATAAAAAAAAAGAAAGAAAGAAAGAAAAGAAAATCTTCATCATCAAGGTAGTCTGAATAATTTACCACTAAAGATTAACTCTATGGCCAAACAATGGCCGTGACTCATTCACATGGCTGACACTGACAAAGGTTCTACAATCTGAGGTACAGGATCTCAGGATAAATCCTGAGGGGATTTCACTGACCTTCTCAGACCCAAAAGCTACAACTCTTGTTGCATAGGTCTTGCTTTATCTTGGTTTTAACCATCCAGCAGAAAAGTATAAAAACGAAGTATAAGAAGTAAAGCCATGCTGTTATGGAGAGCTGTAGGGGACTCAGGTCAACAATTTCTGACATTGCCAGTGAAGTGGAAGACCCAATACTATTATGGGCTACTAGACTCTTTTAGAATATTTTGCTGAGTTAACACACCTATAATATTCAAATAACGGAACTAACCAAGAAAAGGGGATACAGATGAATGTCCATTTTGTATCTGTGTATTCAAAGTGGTTAGGATAGATATATAGTTACATTTTCTTAATTCAAGGAATAGAGGGATTTGTTCTAATAGTGTTTGTAAACAGGATATCATGTCTGCATCTTGTACAACAATTAACCACTAGGAAGAATGTATGCAATGTGTTAATTATTGAAACTGCTACCAATTTGGTTTGAATCTGTCTCATTGCTATTTGTTTCTCAATAAAATTATGGAGAAAAAAACAAAAAGAAAGAGCTGGATTTCCAAAAAAAAAAAAAAAAAGATTAACTCTAAAGCCTAATTGGTAGGACAGGATGCGGGTCATGGACCCTCGCCAGCCAAGACCATGGAGCACCACTGGGGCATTCTGTTCATTGTCAGGTTGGTAAGATGCCTCCACAGAAGGGCTGTGGAGCTTCCCAGGGTGAGAGAGAGGAAGGAAGGGAGAATAATGGGAAGAGAGGAGCTCGTTTTTATCTAATTTCTTTCCAATTTCCTTGCCGGGAGTAGGACGGTGTCTTTAAGTCAGGCTGAGAAATAAGGTAGCCCTGACAACTAAGGCAGTCCTGCTCTGACCCGCAAACTTTCCTGCATACTTAAGTGACCCATTTTCCAGCCATCCAGAATTTTAACTCAAGGGGAAACAGACAGAGTCAGAAGTGAGAGGTCGCTGCGGAGTCAGCATTCAGTGGCTTCTCCTCCTTCCTTTTCTCCCAAGGCAACTGAACCTTCCACTTAATATTTCATCCTCTGTCCTGAAAAGGCCAAAGCTGTTCCCCTCAGAGAAACCCGTGTAAATCTTTTTGGAGGGCCGCAGTAAGATGGAGGCGAGGCTGTGCACACCCAGTGAGGCTCACACCTCTAGCTCTACAAGTGCAGCTTATCGGGAGCCTTGTGCTTCACAGAGGAGGTGAAGCACAGGGTGTGGTGACAACTACACCAAAAGTGATAGCTTTTACACAACAGAGAAATAAGATCTTTGTCGAGCCAGCACTTTTCTTCAGAAACATTGAAGTCACTCCAAAGATAAGACTTTAGAATAAAGTGTTCAAAATCTAGCACCAAGAACATTTACAATAATCTATTTCCTATCTACCAAGAAGGTCCCATTTGATATAGTTTTCAGTGCCAAATGCAGCCACCGTGTTGAGAATGAAGCTCTTAGACATATGACATAAAGGAGCTGGAAAAAGTGGGCATTTTGTTGTTTAGATGCCAACTTTGTCCAGCACCTGAAAAGAAGCCAAGTAAAAGCATCTATGCAGTTTAAAAAAAAAAAAGTGGACTGTATAATGTGTATATTACCCTTGGTTAAGCAAAGTAAAATATGTGATACATTAGTTTGGTTTTTCTTATCATCTCCGGGGGGAGAGGATAATAAGATTTTGTGCGGCTCATAAATACTCTCACCACCCACCCTTCTGGGAAATAAATATCAGCTAAATTCCACTTTAAGCTGCAAAGAAATTGTATTTTATATTTAATTTATATTTTGCAAGTCTTAAGTTCTGATAATGACTGGAGGCTGTTAAAAGAAAATTAAGACTCAAGATATGTTTGAAAACAGAAGCCAGAAGTGATATTTAAAGGCTACGCAGCAAAATAAACTCTAACTTTTCTTGCTTTCTGTAATACAAGTTATCAGAACCAAAATTAATTATCAAAATTAAAATGAAGGTGTTCTGCACAGATTTTCAGTTTTTGGAGATTCACAGAGCAGACCAATTCTATAGCCCTTGGAGACAGCCTCAAGAGAAATATGCAAGGACAGAGACATTGTTAGTCCGGACATGGGTGGCAATGGGCAGCCTCCCACACAGAATCATGTCGTGACAATTCGGGGTAGACGTCTTGGTAGTCTGGCAGAAACCACTGCATTTTCCAGACAAATGATAGCTACAAAAGGGAAATACTGAGGTCACTGTCCAGCCCAACACTACATACATCCCAAACCCAGACATCTGTAATGTGTGTGGTTAAGAGAAGAAAAGGAACAATGCGTCAGTGGTTATCGTTCCAAGTTTTGCTCTTTTCCTTTAGATAAAGAAAGAATCCTTAGACGGGGCGTGGTGGTGCACACCTGTAATCCCAGCTCTTGGGAGGCTGTAGACAGGTGCATCACTATAAATCTGATCTAGTAGTGAGACCCTGAATACCCTGTAGCCCCTTCCCTAAAATACAAAAAAAGAAAGAATCCTCAAAATCCACACATATAGAGTTAATTTTTATAATTTTGCCTCAAGTTTCAAAATAGAATGGGCAACACAAAAGAGCTGTTGATTTCTGCAGCCTGATTCACACTCTCTCAAAGTCATGCTACTGGAAGAACAGGGGCCACGCCTTATGTCTGGGACACACAGGCCTGATGAGGCAGAATTCGTTTTGAGTCCCTCTCAGTGCATGTGTGCAGTCCATCCTGATTCGGTCGGTGGGCGGAGCAGGCAGGCACTAACACCTTGCATTCTTTTCTCACCCCTTTCCTGCCTGTCCTTTCACACCTTGGGTCCTTTCCACATGCAAAAGATCTATCTCCTTGTTTTTATTATTTATCTTTTATTTTACTCTTTATTTATGCTTTGGGTTTTTCATGTAACAGAAACCATGCAATATTTAAGCTTGTCTATATGACTCAGCTCACTCAAAATTATAGTCTCCAGGAGTATCTGTTTTCTTTTTCTTTTTTTTTAAACATTTATTTATTTAGTGTGGTGTGTGTGTGTGTGTGTGTGTCAGCTCAGCCCACCAGGGGGTGGGGCTAGCTGGCATGTGGTGCTGGGGGATTGAACCTTGGTCCCTGTGCTCTGCCAAGTTTGTTCCAAGTAGGTGCTTTAGACCACTGAGCCATCTCACCAGCCCTGTATCTGTTTTCTTATAGGTAACTGAAATGTATCCTTTATAATACAGTAGTACTGCATTGTATAAAAAGTGACTGTTTAGGGCCAACCAAATAGCTCAGCGGATTAAAGCGCCTGCTGAGGCAGACACAAGGACCTGAGTTTGATTCCCAGTGTGTGGTGAGCCCTGTCCCTGGGGCAAGCTGAGATGATGACACAGAGCATACAGAGTTAATTTTTATAATCACGCCTGAGACTGGGTGTGGTGGCACACATCTGTAATCCCAGCACTGGGGAGGCTGAAAACAGCTAAATCACTATGAGTCTGATCTATGTAGTGAGACCCTGTAGACCCTGAACTAAATACATAAAAAAAGTCAACCTAAAAAAAGTGACTGCTTATATAGAAAAGGATTCTAAAATCTAAAACCTCTGTCACAGGAAACCAGAAAACTTAGTGAATTCCAAGATATAAGGTCTGTATTTTTTTTTTTAAGTTGTATTTTCACTTATTATCAGCAACTAGAAAATGAAAACTTTCAAAATTCTATTGGCAATGTCCAAAATATGAATAAACTTAGCAAATGATGCGCCAGTCTTCTCCACTGAAAGTTATAAACAATGCTGAGAGAAATTACAGGCGACCTAAATAAGTGGGGGCGATTCTATTTCCATGAACAGAAGACTCAGAGTGGCTGAGCCTCAGTCCTCTCAGACTGACCTAGAGAGCCAGTGACTCAGTGCAAATCTAAAAGTGCCATCCAGTGAATTTTTTGCGATTGAAAATCATAGGCCTACAATATCTAAGTCAATATTAAAAGAACAGATTTGCAAGATTCAACAACCTAATTTAGAGTGTTACTATGATATAGCTGGTAAGATACTGTGGCTCAATAAATCAATGAACAGGAGCAAAAGATCAACAATAGATTGACAGTTATATAGTCATTTGATTTTAGAAAAAGATTCTGAGAAAGGAAGTTTTCCCAACAAATGGTGATGTAACAACTTGCTCTCCATATGTGAAAAAATACATTTTGACTCCTAACTCAAACAAAACTTAGAAATGGATCAAAGGTAAGAGCAAAATTTTAAACCTGCTAGAAGAAAACAGGAGAATGTCTTCATGAAGGAAGGCAGAGAAAAAGATTCCTAGAATCTGTAAAACTAAAGCGCAATTTACACCTTATCAAAATTAAAATCATCTCATCAAAATCCACCACTAAGGAAAGGAACAGGCAGCTGAGCATGGCGGTACAGGCCTGTAGTCCCAGCTATTCAGGAGCCTGAAGCAGGCGGATTACAATTTTAAGGTCAACCTGGGCAACTTAGCTCTTATTCCACAATGAAAATTAAAAAAGGGCTGGGAATATAGGTTGGTGGCAAAGTGTCTTGGGGTTGTCACCAGTACTATAAAAAAAAAAAAAAAAAAAAAAAAAAAAAAAAAGGAACAGAAAAAGAAAAAGAAAGAAAAGGAAGAAAGAACACAGACAAAGGGAAAACACTGACAGACAGCAGCTGACAAGGAATGTGCACTTAGCATACACAAAGAATTCCTGCAACCCGATAGAAATACAAATGACTCAACCAAAATATAGAGATAATAGGTACAAAGACTTCACAAAGGAAGACAGACTAGTGACCAAGAAATGTGCGCAGCAGTCCAGGCAGGCCAGCATCACGCGTGAGGGCAACACGAGTTAACACGAGACGAATGCTGCTATCAATGCACATCTGAAAGGGTGTAGCTCACAAGACTGACCATCAGAAATGGGGGTGAGGGTGTGCAGCTGCAAAATTCTCATACACTGGCGAGAAGACTGCGAAAGGGAACCTCAGGGAAAGCTCTGTTGGGTTATCATTTCATAAGACTAAATATACACTTATTTCCTCAACCCAGCAATTCCATCCCTGGATATTTAGCCACGTACAGATAGATATCCCCCAAAAGATAACAAGACATGTGTGAGAAGGTCTATAGAAGCTTTACTTACCAGTGCCAAAAATTAGAAACACCCCAAATGGCCGTCAACAGGACAGCAGATAAAAAAATTAAGCTTTGCAGTGGGCTGCCTTTTAGTACCCTTCTATTATAAAATAACAGCTTTTCCTTTCAAAACACAAATGATAAGTGGGTGCTATACTACACCCTGCTGCCCTTGGAACAAAGCCCCTCTCTTGCCATGTTTATGAGGAGCAGCTCCCACCACTGTCCCCACAAGCTTTCCCTCCACAACTTGAAAATGACGCCCTCACTCCACTGTGGAGGCCAGCGCTTGCTCTTCCTCTGTGTGGAGGTTCTACACAGGGTGCGACAGCCTCTTCACCATCATTCTGGCCTTGTGCCATGTCCCCTGTCCAGACCCTTCCCGCCTGTCTAACTGAAGCACCCAGGCAATCTCGCGTCTCTCACCCTCGTCTGTGCCTTCCCTGCACCTATCGTGAGCTGAGGTTAGCGTCTGTTATTTCCACGTCACTGTCTTTCTTCCCTGGACTGAGAGAAGGTGAGGCCTCTGAGCACGGCCTCTTGAACAACATATTCCCTGAAACCTGACAGAATTTCTAACAAGCATGAACAAATACACATTGCCTAATCAGTTGCTAGCACACTCAAATTTGTCTTCAGACATTAACAATATGGGGACACCTGCACTGAAATGATTTACTTTTTTTATTTTTCAAAGCCTTGATGTAGGCATTTGAAAGAATGCAAGGGGCTGGGGAGTTAGCTCAGTAGAATAAGCACTTGAGTTCAATCCCTGGTACTGAAAAAAAAAAAAAAAAAAAATGAATTCAAGGAATTTGTTACATTTCCTGACACCAGGCCAGTCCGTACTCACCATGTGACCTCACTGTATTAGACTTGTGTATCAGGATCCTGTCAGCCTCATCAACTGAGCAGGAGACTTTGACATAAACAGGACAAACAGAGCCACTGTAAGAAGTGGCCAAAATCTACCCACTAGCATCTTGCATACCTACTGTGATGTTCCCCGTCTCACTTTGTAGTATTATATCACCTGTAAAAGAGAGAAAAAGGAAAGATAATTTAATGCATAAGGGATCACCGAGAAAGGAACTGCTACACAGAATCCTACACTGACATCTACAATGTTGTTTATTAATGCTATTACTTTTGGGGGGACAGTTTTGTGAGTGACACAAGTCCAGCCGGAGATTTGGTTGCAGTTCTGACATTACCTGGCTTCTGGCATCTCTGCAAACTCTTTTGCTTAAGCTTTTAGGGTAAGTACAAAACCAACCAGCATACTTCTTGGCAAACATAAAGGAAAAATAATGATACCTCCAAAGCCTACACAAAACTATTTACTACATACAGACTTTCAGCCTAAACATTCATGTATTTATCAGAACAAAGGCAAGTTTTGAGCCAAGTAACACTAAAATGTGACTGGAAAAAATAATTACTTTTATTTCTCAGGCCAGTTGCCCTGTCTGTTTGGTAGAGTAACACAGTTTCTGGTCCAAGAGCTGAAGTAGTCTAGGGTAAAAATAATGAGTCCATGGAGGTGTAACTAAAAGAACAAAAACAGGGGCCGGGGAAATGGCTCAGTAGAACAAGTGTTGCCTGGCAAGCGCAAGGGCTTGAGTTCAATCTCAAGTTCTGCAAAAAAATAAAAAATAAAAAAAATAAATCATAGCCTTTTGGTGAAATGTATTTCCAGGCAAGGACAGCACACGACACTCACCCTCCCAGCCCCTCACAGTAACACCCAGAGAGCAGCACCGTCCTCCCCTGTACGTTGTGTGCACATAAGCACTCCTCAAAGCAGCACTCACAGTTATTTAAGCAAATACGTGAGCAGGAATACTACCCACATAATTTCAAAACTACATGCAAAAGAAGAATGGTTTCACATTAATTCAGGATAACCTCAATCTCATTTTATATATTTTGTAAATGCTGATATGTATCAATATGTAGAAGAAGGGCTAACCAAATAGCTCAGAGGATTAAAGCACCTGCTTAGGCAGACGCAGTGGCCGGGGTTTGAAACTTGGGCATGCCATGCCAGCCCCACCCCCAGGGCACCCTGAGATAGTGATTGAGACTGGGTGTGGTGGTGCGTGCCTGTAATCCCAGGTCTTGGGAGGCTGAAAACAGGAGAATCACTATGAGTGCAATCTGTGTAGAAAACCTTGTAGACCCTGTACTAAAATATAAAATAAATAAATAAATAAATAAACAAACAAACAATCTAGAAGAAAGCAAACGAGGCATTTGATCCACACGAATAGTCAGATGAGCCTGGCTGAAAACCTCTTCCTGCGGGCCTAACACACACTGGACACATTTTATGTGACTTTGTGAACAAAAGGTACATTTATGTAGGAATCAAAATATGGCTTGTATGCAGAAGCTTGTAAAATGATTTTCAAGTCTCAGTAAAAGGCTGAAAAGATCTTGTTAAATGTGTTAAGCAAATACTATTTCATTGGTGTGTTCTGTGGTCTTGTCCAATTTTTAATCCCCATCACACATGGATTGTAGCCAAACAGCATGCAGTTTCCAAGATGGCGTCCAGTGAAACTGCTTCCTGGCCCTCAGGCTCCGGTATTCCCTTATTTCGTCAGACGTAGGCTGGGCCTCAGTGACTTGCTTTTAGCAAAGACAATCGAAACAAAGTGATGGGGTATCACTTCCAAAACACTTGGGCTCCTGCCTTGCTAGTCCTGTCCTGTTGTTACTGAAGCCAGCTGCGACGCTGCCAGCTGCACCATGGAAGAGGCCCCTCCGGCAGGAGCGTCAGGCCACGCGGCTCAGAAAGGACTCCTGCCAACAGCCACACGAGTGTACGCTGCAGGGAAGCAGATTCACCCCTGGTTGGACATTCGTAAGAGCCCCCAGCCCTGGCTGCTGCCTGATGACAGCCTTGCCCTGCCGAGCTCCACCCAGATTCTTCATCGACTCACTGAGACAGTATTTGTGCTTGTCACTGCTATGCTCTGGACGACCTGGGAAAGAATGACAATAGCTAGGACACATGCTGATACCTGGAATGGTGTGCTGCCTTGATAAACATCCTAAGAAGTGGGTTAGCTTCAGAGGTTGGCAGGGCCGAGGCTGGAGAGATTTTGAAGAGCATGCTTGAGAAAGCCTAAGTTGCCCTGAACTGAGGCAGTCAGGAGAAATCTGGAGCTCCAGCAGGCTTCCCAGGAGGATTCAAAAGGAGTGAGGAAATGTTTTTTAAAACTGGAGGAAGGAAAGTCCTTGTTAAGTAGAAGCAGAAGCTTTGCAGCACTATCCACTTCAGTAATGTGCAAAACAGGAAATGTGCCTCACCGCAGAACAGTACAAGGGTATTCCGAGGAAAGCCCAAGGGTTGTAGGTGCGGGCTGATCGCTTTCCTTGTTGTATAAGGTCGAATGCAGGGGAGGGCAGGGTAGATCGGGGAGAGAGTGGAAGTATGCGGCAAAAATCAAGGGAATGACTGCTAACACAAGAAGAGCCTGGGCTTCAAAGCCACTCAGTCTCTCAAGCCAGCAACAGCCCTGAAGTTAAGGACGGTCTCCAAGCAAAATCTGAACCCAGGGCACTGAAAGAACATGGCCTCAACTGAGGCTGCAGGCCACTGAACCTTTTCTGAGACCCCAGAGAGGTGCATCGCATAGTACCAATCCATTACACACAAGGTCTTTGCAAAGACTAAGGCTGTAGCTGGCAGCTGGTCTCAGGCCAACGCTCCTGGGAAGCCTGCCTTGCTGCACCGCATGCCTCTGAAGAAACCTGTATTTTTGGAGGGTTTGGGAGTAGCTTTGTCTGCTGGAATAGATCCCAATTCATGAGAGGCTGACGAAGTTTTGGGGAGAACTCTATCAACAAATAGCCATTAAAAAAAAAAAATAGCCATTGCGGATGGCAGGTCACGAGCGTACAAAGTACAGAGGGACCACCACTGTAAAGCAAGACCCTCACCCCTCCCCAGACGTGGGCCCCTCTGCTTTTAGCCTTTTCTCTTTCCACTTCTCTGCATGTTGTGACACAGCCAGGTAGCCCTCATCAAAGCATCAGTTCCATGATGCTTAAAGCCCCAGCCACGAGGCTGGGGTAAATAAAAGTCTTTACGAATAAAGTACCCTAACCCAGGTGTTTTGTTACAGCAACAGAAAACAGACTAATACTTGGGACAGTGGAACATACTGGTCATCCAAAACCTCAAGGGTATTTGAGGGGAAGCACACATTAAATACTAGTCATTGTACATTCATAAATGAGATGCCAGAAATGTCCAGAGGAAAGATGAAGATGACCCTGTGTGGGCAGGGAGAAAGCACAGAAAGCATCATCTGAGCTTAGCTATCAAACATGAGTAAAATCTGAGTATACTGAGAGGGAAAGATTTTCTGGGGGAAGAAAATCACACTGGCAGGGCCGGCCAAATAACTTAGTAGATTAACGCACCTGTAAGCAGGTGCACGGGCCAGGGGTTCACTCCCCAGGCCGCCTTGCTGGCCCTGCCACTGAGGCACACTGAGACGGCAATTGAGACTGGGTGTGGTGGTGTGCACCTGTAATCCCAGCTCTTGGGAGGTTGTAAACAGGCAGATCACAGGGAGTCTGATCTAGTAGTGAGAAGCTGACACCCTGTAAACCCTTCCCTAAAATACAAAAAACAAACAAACAAACAAAAAAAAAAAAACCGTGGAGAGCTTACAAACTGCCCAATGTATAAAACACTATTTTTTGGTAAGTGAAAAAGTTCCCAAAAGTGGATAAAGACCTGTCTGTAGTAGAACCCTCAGATGAAGGCCACCTGACCTCCCTACACTAAAGGAATAGGTCAAGAATTGTAAGATGGCTAACACCACAAGAAAACCTTGTGTGATGGTGGCTACTGCCATATTCCCAGTTCTCTTTCCTGCTTCTACCTCTTGTATATTTAAAGATGGAGCAGTCTCTGATATTTCTACTTTTAACTACTAATAAGCAACTATTGATACAGCTTCATATTACTTAGCTTGTGACTTCAGGCTCCTGGTCACAAGGAAAGAAAACTACTGTCTTATACTGCATTCAGTAAATATAGTCAAATTTATAATTTTTAATGAAGACATGATCTTTTGCAAAAAAGCCAATCATTAGTGCTTGTGATGAAGTGGTGATGAGGGTTCAAAATAAATAATGGTTCTGAGAGCTATGAAGCAAATCTGTAGGATGTGCAAGAAACGAGGCCTAACTCATATTAGCAAAGGACCTATAGTTCCAGGCAACATCCCTCTTAAATGTCACAGCTCTATCAACAGTAAAAACATGAGACCAAAAGAACTATGAAAATAAGGAATACTAGTAAATATAGTTATAAATAATATTTCAAAAATTTTTGTCAATACTCAAACAGTGAACAAAAATTCATACCAAAATTTAGAAAGTCACCCTAAATAGAAACATTCTAAAATCATTAGAACAGACAAAATGGACTCCTCCCTCAAATGCTCTGTGGTGATAGAACATTTTAAAATGCAGGAACCAACAAAATGGGCCATTGTTTGCAAAAGTGTCCTGCATCCTGGTTTTACTCATTTCATCTGCAGCCACTGAAAATAGCGCACAAGTCACCTACTGAAGAGAAGCGGGCCTTAGCCAGGCTCCTCCTCATAAAGCCACCGCCTGGGTCTGTAATAGGTCTTGTGCCCACGCTGCTCTTGAGCTACATGCTCTTCCACAAATCCCAGGACTGGAGAAAATACAGTGTTTCTTTTCTTGCAACCCTTCATTTAACATGGTTTGAGGGGAAAATACTACGCAATCAATTTTTTTTTTTTTTTTTTTTTTTTTTCCAAATGCCTTCAGGGCAGGTTTGGTTGGCTTGAGTTGTAGGGATCGAACCACAGCAACCTGAGCCTGACTGCTTTGTTGAAGCAGCCACTTAAAGAACTGGAGCAGGCCCCAGCTATGGGGCAGGCCCCCCGCAATCAATTTAAGGATACAAACATTGGTGTATTTTTTTCTTCACTATAGGAAATGTGATCCTGGGCATACAAGTTCTCACTGTCTACA